AAAAAGACAAAAAAAGGCAAAAAGAGAAGAGAAGTGTCCTCTGACCCGAATGCTAGTCCTTGGACAATTCTGAGAATATAAAGTAACAGAGTGTGCTGCTATTGTTGATGAAAGTAAGTCTCGGTTTTTGTGGATGATGATAATGTTGCTGAATGAAATTTGAGGAGATATGCAAATGCAATAAATTGAAATACATATGACAAGAAAAGCAAATACAGTTTCAAGTCTTTTTCCCACACAATTTCAAAGACAACATTACACAGATAATAAAGAAACAAACATTTCCAGTTTTCCACTTAAAATTGGACATATTTAAACACAACACACACAGCAAAAGAAAAACAAAGATTATATTACATTGAAAACCCAATAGCAACAGCAACTAGTGCATATGTGATTTCCTCCAACTTTCTTGTGATTACCAAGCCGAATCCCAATTGCTGCCAATGGGGGAGACAAGAATAGATGAGAGAGAGAGAGAGATTTATTAAGAATGGAAAATTCATACTGAGTTGAATCAAAAATGGAAAATTGAAGATTAAAAGGCTTACATTTGCGGTGCGCCCTATCACCAACTTTTCCAAACTTTACAGAAGGGGAAAAGGATGTCTTTTGCATTGGGATGGTCCCATTCCAATGATTCCCACCATTCTTTTGGGAATACCACAATTTCTTTGAGGGAAGGAGGATGAGATGATTGGGTATTATCAAGCAAGGGAAAATTCAGAGGAATCCTCTTTAGCTTCTCACACTCAGAAATCGTCAGACTCTGGATGGAATCGCAAATCAACACACTGGAGCTGCTGCAGATGCTCTTCAATAAGGGCAATCTTGTCAATTCCAACCTTTCTAACTTGGGTAGAGTGACTTTTTCTTCTTCATGTGCCGATGACGATATCAGCTCCTCCATTTGCGAACACCATTTAACCTCAATAGTCTTTAGGGATTGGAAGTAGTGGAGCAACCATCCAGATGAGAATACCTTCTTTAATTGATCACAATCTTCAACCTTAATTTCTTTAAGAGAGAAAAAGCTTGTGAGAGGTACACATGGCGATAAACCAAGACCTTCTTCATCAAACACAGATTTCAGATCCTTTAAATAGGTAAGTTCCAGATATTCAAGATTTGGAAGTGGGTTGAACCCGGACCAAAAAACACTCTCTATATTTTCACAATCAAAAATTTCAATCTTCTTGATGGAATCACAAATCAAAGGACCTCTATAGATGGTCTTCAATAAGGGCAATTTTGTCAATTCCAACCTTTCTAACTTGGGTAGAGTGACTTTTTCTTCTTCATGTGCCGATGACGATACCAGCTCCTCCATTTGCAAACACTATGTAACCTCAATAGTCTTTAGGGATTGGAAGTAGCAAAGCAGCCATCCAGATGAGAATACCTTCTTTAATTGATCACATTCTTCAACCCTAATTTCTTTAAGAGAGAAAAAGCTTGTGGGAGGTACACGTGGCGATAAACCAAGACCTTCTTCATCAAACACAGATTTCAGATCCTTTAAATTGGTAAGTTCCAGATATTCAAGATTTGGAAGTGAGTTGAACTCGGACCAAAAAACACTCTCTATATTTTCACAACCAAAAATTTCAATCTTCTTGATAGAATCACAAATCAAAGAACCGCTATAGATGGTCTTCAATAAGGGCAAACTTGTCAATTCCAACCTTTCTAAGTTGGGTAAAGTGACTTTTTCTCCTTCTTTAGATTCAGACCCTATTATCTCCTCCAGTTGCTCACAATCCTCAACCTCAACAGTCTGTAGTTTCTGGAGATATCCTTGCCACGTAACCGAGAATAACTTCTTTATTTTATTACATCGCCAAACACTAATATATTGAAGAGAGGAAAATGTGCCAGCTGGTAGCGATGCTGACTCAACAATTGCTCCTACTTCCCCAAACACCATATTCAAGTTATGCAAATAATCAAGTTCCAGCTTCTCAAGGTTTTGAAGCTTCCCCCAAATTCCAATCGTCTCCCATTTAAATTCTGTTTTGGCATGGCGATTGGCAGTTACTAGTAAATGCTGAAGTTTGGAGAGATTTTGTAGCGGTTCATCAAGTGTTTCAGATAATCTTCCACCAAGACCAAGGTATTTTAGATTTGTTAACAAGTTGAGGCCTTGCGGTAGTTCTTCAATTGATGTCCAGGAAAGGTCTAACTTCTTTAACCCTACAAGGTTGGATAATGTTGGTACCTCTCTTAAGAAATTACATCCACATAGCAATAATGTAGTAAGCTTCTCCAATTTGGAGATAGAACTCGGCAGCCTACTTAGCTGATGATTCCTGGAAAGATCAACAATCTTGAGCCCAAGCATATGCTCAAAAAAAGCTTCTGGAATTGTTGAAATCTTATTATCAGACAACAGCAAGGTTGTGAGCATAGGACACTTTGGAGACGGCATGCTTGAAGGAATTTGTGTTATGTGATTCCTCATTAAAGAAACCTTCCAAAGATTTTCTCTCCATTCATGCTCCTCTGGTAACTTCTCCAAGGCTTTGCCGGCTTTCACCAAGAATTGAGGACTGATTCCCAGTGCCATTTCTCGGAGAAGATCATGCATACTCACACATTCTTCTTTTTTAACCGATTGCAACAAGCAGTTGTTAACTAGCTTATCGAGTATATCATGACCCTTCCAATTCATTGCCTCCCTAGTTTTCCCTTCTTCATATATAAGCCCCTCCTCAATCCAATACTCAATTAACTCCTTCTTTCTGATTTCATCATCTTCAGGATACAATGCACAACATAAAAAACATTCTTGGCATTGTTGTTCTAGGCATTCATAACTGAATTTCAAACAATCAATAATGCTTTCAAATTTACTGAATTCAGAAAGTGCCAACTTCCAATGACGAGGAAGTAATTTCCCTTTCATTGATTTTGCCACTGTCACAATAGCAAGGGGTACTCCATCACATTTCTGCAAAATTTGCTTCAAAAATGGCTCTATATCTCTTTTAATTTTGCCATCTGAAAACACATCACTTCCAATTTTCTCCGAGAATAATTCTAATGCTTCTTCAGGTGGAAGAGGGTTCACATGGATCACATTACAATCCATTGCACGAGCAACATCTTTTGACCGTGTTGTGAGCACTAACTTGCAACCATTATTTCCAACTGGATTAGAAATTCCAACATCTTCTAGAGAAAAAGGCTCCCACACATCATCTAGAATTAGCAGGAAGCTGCCCTGCCCCAGCCTTTGTGAAATCAATGCAGCAAGCTTGGTTTCATTCTCATGATCTGAATTTGGTTCTAATTTCAAGCTACTTGCAATCTCTTTCAGAAACTTCAGAATATAAAACTTCTTTTTTTGCTGGACAGTAATGTTAAAGTCTTTTGACATTGTTATCCAAATAACATTCTTAAATTTGGATTCATTCAACAGTTGGTTGTGGACATTCTTCATAATTGTTGTCTTGCCCACACCACCCATTCCCGAAACTGCAATTCTTGCAACCTTGTCTCCCTTCAACCATTCCAGAATTTTTTCTTGTATATCATCCCTGCCACTACATTTTTCAACTTGAAGTGGAAATCCTTTGATTGAGTGATCATCTATGACCAAAATCACAGCAGCATTAGTGAATTCTTTTCCTTGCTCAAGTATTTGCTTCAATTCTTCAATTTTTTTCCAGAGGTTGGATGGAGAGGAACATTCCCCTTGGCTGCTCAGATCTTCAACCTTTATGTTAATCTGTTGGCTTGCTTTCTCCATCCAGTCTTTAACTTCATTGCTTGCCATCTTTCTGGGCTGCAGAAGCGAAGTCTCCAATTTTGCCTTAATGTCTTTCTGTCGAAGCTTCAGCTGCTCTTGCATTTCTTTAAATACAGTTGCCCAATACTCAATTGAGGGAGTATCTACGACCAAACTCTCATTAGCACTAGTGTACTTTTCTCCTTGCTTAAATATTTCTTCAGTCAGTGATTGAGCCCTTTTATCGAGCTTTCTTGAGGAGCAAATATATGTGAAACAGCCCCCTTTGCAGATTTGATCTTCAACCACTTTTTCTGCAGTTTCTTGGGCTGCTTTCTCTAGCCAAGCTTCAACTTCCTTCTTTGCAATCTTCCCAGGCTGCCTAAGTTGAGCACGCAGTTCTTCTGCAACGTCTTGCCGTCGGTGCTCCAGCTGTGTCTGCATATCTTTGAATTCATTGACATAATCATTGTGACGTATCTGATACTTGAAATATCTCTTAACTGTAGGTACAACATCCTTCCCAATATCCACGACTAGTTCTATGACGTCCATTAAAGAGTTCCTGCATATATGAAATTGTTGGATATAAGCTAATAATTGTGCCTTAAAACTTAAATGAAACAAGGATAAGAATAAAAGTATTTAGGAGAAATTAATAGTGGAAGTATCATGAATGACTAATTTAAGTATTTGGTTTTTATAAATTTAATAATTATTAATAATTAAAATTAAAAATTAAAAATTTGTTTAAA